GGAGTATTAGAACTAGGTGTTTGTTAAGTATGTTGAACTAAGTGTTTACCAGTCGTAATTTGTGGACCTTGGCAGTGGTGGACTTTGTGTCAATTCCTTAGGTCAATCCTTAGGAATAAATGGATAGAGGATAGTTGATTCTTAGGGTAAATCCTTAAGAAATAAAGGAGATAATGGGAATGAGTATTTGGGTTGATTGTTTGATAATTGAATATAATAAATGTATTATTGTGGGATGAAAACCCTATATGCTCACCAGGCTCCCAAGCCTGGCCCACTCAGTTTTCTTTGCATTACAGGTAATGACACAAGAGTATAAATTAGTGGACTTGATGAGAGATTTTGGATTATAGATCAGTAGTTACAAATAACTGTTGTAAGGTCTATTTTATATTGTTTATGCTTTTGGTCTGTATCGAACATGACATCCCGAGGTTTTATTATTTAATAAAAATACATTCTCTTTGAGAACGTTTTGATAAATTTTATCATATTTTGTTTTGGGAAAAAATTCCGCAACTATTTTAATCAAAAGGGTTTACTCTGATTTTATAAAACAAAGCATAAACAAATCGGTCTTTTCTAGCCGTGAAATTGGGGATGTCACAGTAATCAAGTTTAAACTCAAAATGCCTCTCGTGGATGCAGTAGATCACAATCTTTTTCTATGCAATCGCATTCATGTCGTATTTGTGGAAGGAATCATCCGAGCCAATGCAAAATAGACAAGGAATCCATTGTCTGTTATGGATGTGGAGAAAAGGGTCATATAAAGCCAGCATGCCCAAGAAAGGATGTTACTTGCTATGCATGTGATATTACTGACCACAAGAAGCGTTTTTGCCCTACTCTTACTAGTCAGATAACGGGAAGTCAAGCTTCTGTTCAACAACCGACGAGAAGTCAATTCCCTGTTCAGCAATCAAAGGATGCTCCAACTAAAAAGGAGGAGATGCCAAAAGCGAAGGGTCGTGCATTCCAGATTACCTCATAGGAAGCACGCGAGGACCCGAATGTTGTGACGGGTAAATTTCTTGTCAACTCTAGACCTGCTCACATCTTATTTGATTATGGTGCCTCAGATTCTTTTGTGTTTTACGAATTTGCGCATTCCTTTCAAATTGATTGCTTTGTACTCGCGCAACCATTTCACGTAGATACTGCGGGAAGTATATTATTACTTGCTGATAAAGTATATAGGGATTGTGTTATAGAAATTGAAGGCTATACTTTTTTTGCTAACCTGATTCTTATCTCCTTGCCCAACTTTGATATTATTCTCGGCATGGATTGGTTATCAAAGAACCACGCAGAACTCTTTTGCTATGAAAAGATAGTACGCATTCCTATTGAAGGGGAGAATCCTATTTATTTCTACGATGAACAAAGACTCTTAAAAATAATCTCTTTCCTTAAAGCTCGTAAATTCATATCGAAAGGGTGTTCTATCTATCTAGCCTACACAGTTGATGTCTCAAAAGAGGAGAAGAAAATTGTTAATGATGTTCTCATTGTTAACGAATATCCTGATGTTTTCCCCGATGACTTTCCTGGCCTTCCTCCGAATAAGCAAGTAGAATTCCGAATTGACCTTGTGCTTGGTGCTGCTCCGATTGCAAAGACTCCTTATTGTCTTGCGCCAACTGAGATGAAAGAAATATTGATCTAACTGCAGGAACTACTTGACAAGGGTTTCATTCGACCGAGTACCTCTCCCTGGGGTGCTCCGGTACTGTTTGTCAAGAAGAAGGATGGATCGATGCGGATGTGCATTGATTATCGTGAGTTGAATAAGGTGACTATCAAGAACAAGTACCCACTACCTCGCATCGACGATTTTTTCGATTAAATTCAGGGTGTTAGCTATTTCTCAAAGATTGATCTAAGATCTGGCTATCATAAGTTGAAAGTTCACGAGCAGGATGTACCAAAGACTGCTTTACGTACTCGATATGGGCATTATGAATTCCTTGTTATGCCGTTTGGTTTAACAAATGCTCCTTCTATATTCATGGATATGATGAATCGGGTATGCCGTCCGATGCTCGATAAATCAGTCATCGTATTCATTGACGATATTCTAATCTATTCCAAGTCTGAAGCTGATCATGTCATTTATCTTCGTGCGGTATTAGAACTTCTTCGAAAGGAGAAACTATATGCTAAATTCTCGAAATGTGAATTTTGGCTTCGCCAAGTTCAATTTCTCGGCCATGTTATTTCTAGTGATGGTGTATCCGTAGATCCTATCAAAATCGAAGCCATTCAAAATTGGGAAGTGCCCCGTAATGCTTCCAAAATTCGCAGTTTCTTAGGTCTCGCGGGATATTACTGGAAATTCATTAAAGACTTTTCTCGTATAGTCGTACCTCTCACGAGTCTTACACGGAAGGAAGTGAAGTTCGAATGGGGTGAAGCCCAAGAAAAAGCGTTCTCAACTCTAAAATATCTTTTGACTCATGCTCCAATCTTATCACTCCCAGAAGGTGATGATGATTTCTCCGTATATAACGATGCTTCAAGATTGGGACTCGGTTGTGTGTTGATGCAACATGGCAAAGTGATAGCCTATGCCTCAAGACAACTGAAAGATTATGAAAAGAATTATCCCACTCATGATCTCGAACTCGCTGTAGTGGTATTTGCCCTAGAACTTTGGAGGCATTATCTTTTTGGTACAAAATGCCAATTATTTACCGACCACAAAAGTCTCAAGTACATATTCAGTTAACAAACTTTGAATATGAGACAACAACGAGCCATGGAGCTGATCAAAGATTATGATTGTGAAATCTTATATCATCCTGGAAAGGCCAACGTAGTTGCCGATGCACTTAGCAGAAAGGTTTATCGCAATAGTATGTGTTATGCTATTACCCATATTACATTAAAATTCATTATTTTAGATGAATTAGAGAAATGGAAAGAAGAGGCCCTAAAGCCACGCTCTCTCTCACTAAACTTTGAAGGGATCCGTTCACTGGAAAATCTGATGTAAGTGTCTCAAGATTCTGAATGTGGGCGAAGATGTTCTCTCAAGCAATTTGTCGAACACCTTCAGTGCACGACTTATATTCCCCACTTTCTAACCTATTTATTAAACTATCAATATCCAGAGCATGCAAATTAAACCTTTCCCTCATACATCCAGTTCAACAAATAAAAAGATCATGCATAAGGGGGGAAATATGAAATTGAAGAAATTGAGTCAAATAAAAGAAAGATTAAACACCTTTAATTAAAATAGTTGGTTGTAGGCAACCAAATTTTGGCAATAGGTATTTGAGATAATTGTGTGTAAAGGAGCATGTGGGTTCTCAATACATAATCCTGGTTGATTCGTAAAAAATAACCCCTCTCAGATTACGAATCCTAAATCAACATTTAGAAATTGAGTCTCTGCAGATGGTGATGCTGATACTTAGATTGGAGTAGAGAAGGTTGGAGCAGCTCTTGCGTGCATCACCAACAATAGAGGGTATTAGGTTGAAAGTTTAATCATAAGCAACAATAGCACTGGAAACATCAATAACACTAGATATCAGTGTATTTCTAGCCAGATTCAGTGTCGTTGGTTAAATCGACGTTCGATTCTCGAGTGAGAGAGAGGAGTTGGTGGTAAACGTGTAGAACAACAACAGCACTAGATATCGTCTCGTTGGTTAAATCCAAACCGATAACATGGCCCCTGATATTGCATTTGGGTCCCAAGACACAAGTTTTTGATGATAATGGGGTTGGGGGTTGATTCTTGAAGAAATTTAGGTTTCAATTTTTAGGTTTAAGGAAAACAAGAATACAGAGGTAGAAGACGACTTGAGGGGATGGTGGTCGCCCTTTCTCATGTTCAAATCGACGTTCAATTTTGACTTTTTCAGTCAAACATTGTTATTCTATGCGATGATTTCATAAGAGATAAATATGTGGGACACATTATATATTAGAATGATTTTTTTAAAATAACAAAAAACTCATAAATGGTCTCTATAATAGTGAAATGATGAAAATGCTCTTCACTTAACGGCCAAAAGCTAACTGAGTTAACGAAAATGATCATTTGTTAAAAGTTTTAAAACCACAGGGATCATCTGTGAAGTTTTTTGAACTTAAGGATTAAACTTGATATTTTCGAAAATCATAGGGATCATTTTTGAGATTTTATCAACTTTGTATAAAGTTATACAAGAGATTGAGATACTCAAAGTGAACGGAGTAAATTGACGGGAAGGCTGACCTAATCTCATACGTTTGACAATTTCTTTATTCTAGATGCACTTTCACTACCAAAACTTTCACCTACACCCTTACATTACAGAAAGACTTATCAAGATCCACCCCTCTCGTCATGTCCACTATAATGACCTAATCCTTGTGTCCGATAAAAAAAAATTAAAATATTTTCTTGAAAATGAAAATAAAAATCTAAATACGAAATCTTACCTTCACTTTACAAATATTTTCAAGACTAGATGTCTACGCCCTTAATCACTATTCGTGATATAATACCCCATCTTAAGATAAGATTAGGTTTTATTATACAAAATTATACAGCATATTTTAATTTAGGGTTTTTGAAATAACAAAATAAATAGTAAATAATATGTGACAGTGTTACTACAAATGAAACTGGCCCATTATACTAGGAAAATATAAACTTAACAGAAATATTTGTTGGGTATCCAATATGTCATATTAACCTGATTTAAAAAAAAAAACACAATTAAAATAATATCTTTTACATATAGGGTTTATTGGCAAAAATAATTGGTAGTTGAAAACTGAGTTTTGTATCTTTTATTAGTGTAAAATGGTTAGACAAAAATAATTATAAAGTATAAAAATAGATTTTAAATTACTTTTTTTTTTAAAATAAAATAAAAGCATTTAAGCCGTAAAAGGTTGTATCGTGAAATTTGAAGTTAACCATACCCTTTTTAGTAATGGTGATTTGTGAAGCCATTTGAAAGCATAGGTGCTGAATTGCTATATTTTATAGTGATATGATGATACGACCACAAAATCGTACTTTCGATTCTCGAGTGAGAGAGAGGAGTTGGTGGTAAACGTGTAGAACAACAACAGCAACAGCAACAACCACTATTCTAATCTCTTATATTCTTCATAAAGTAAATCAGATAAGCAATTACAGACAAAGTCGCAAACCCTTTTCTCTCCCACCAACAAAATTACAGGTGAGTTTCGCTTTCAGTTCGTCGAACTTTAAGTTTATTCAATTGGGTTCCTGAGAAATTTTGATTTAATTTATGGGGTAGATGGAAATTATCTTTATTTAGAATTACTTTATTGATTTATGATTTTATTCCTCGTTGGACTTTTGTTCTACTCTATTCCCTTTTTTCTGTTGTTTTTAATAGTTGCTTGTTGCTGAATTACCAAACTTCACAATCACTATGCCTATATTATATAATGCGTAGTGTGTAGAAGGGGGAAGGTCTTATCTGCTTTCACTTATTTATGGAATGTTTACTTCTAAGATTGTGGTCAAACCCTAACATCTTTTTCTCTTCCTTCAAAGCCAAGACGAATTCGTGATCAAATCTTATCTGGGATTTTCGTTCTTCGCGCAATTAAGGCTACTGTTGCTCTGATTAATTCATATTCTTATCCGATTCAGGTAATTCTGTTTTTCGATGTTCTGTCTCTATGTATGATTCATGTTTGAAGCTTTGGGTCTTCTGAATTTGAAAAAAACAATCTTGTGTTTAAGCTAAATTGTATCCCTTAATCCACTTCCAATTTCAAAACCTGAGTTTCATGAATTGAAGATCCATTTTAACTTGTGATCGAAATCATGTTTTTGTTGGTATGTTTCAAATTTTCGTGTTTTAATTTTCTTTTGAAGCTTTCTTGGAGCAAAAACAATTCAAAACCGGACTTTGGAGCACGTCAAACATGATTCGATCCGTTTCACCATACGGCTCCCGTAAGCTCTATCTGTTAAATTCCACCAAAGAAACCTCGGGATTTGATTCCGGAGTAAGTCAAATCCTTTATTCTTCAACACAATCCTACAGCAACAATACCTACAATCCCACAAACTACTTTCTCGATTCCCCAACTGACGAACAAGTTTCCATAGACCCTTTAACATCCTCCTACGAATCAAACATCGATCCTGAATACCCGTTAACCGAAAACTTCGAAGAATTAAGCTACAACGAAGACGACATAAGACTAAAACTAAAGCTTCAAGAACTCGAACACGCCCTTCTCGATGATAATGACAATTCTGCCCCTAACCGGAGCATGGAAATCGAACCCGAATGGGGGTATTCCCTCCACGAATCACCCAAAGAATCATCTTCTTACGATTCGTATGTTAGTAGCACCAGCAGTGCCAAAGAAATGTCAGTGAGGGCCCGGGCCACCACTCCTAAAGAGTTACTTTTCGAGTGTGCAATTGCAGTCTCGGAAGGTAACCTTGAGGAGGCATCAGGGATGATAAACGAGCTCCGCCAGACGGTTTCGATCGACGGTGAACCGTCGCAGAGGATCTCCGCCTACATGGTGGAAGCTCTTGCCGCCCGTGTGGCGGTTTCCGGCAAAGGTCTATACAAGGCTCTAAAATGCAAAGAACCGCCTTCAACCGACCGGCTTTCAGCCATGCAAGTACTCTTTGAGGTCTGCCCGTGTTTCCGGTTCGGGTTCACAGCTGCAAACGGTGCGATTCTCGAAGCATTCATCGGTGAAAAACAAGTCCACATAATCGATTTCGATATCAATCAAGGTAGCCAGTACATAACACTGTTACAAACACTCGCGGGTCAAAACCAGAAGCCCCGTTTAAGGCTAACCGGAGTCGACGATCCGGAGTCCGTCCAACGACCCATCGGCGGTCTGAACCACATCGGCCTCCGCCTCGAGAAACTCGCAGAGTCTCTCGATTTGGAGTTCGAGTTCACCGCCGTGTCAGCTGACACGGCGGTGATTTCGCCGGAGATGCTAAAATGCCGCTCCGGCGAAGCAGTGATTGTCAACTTCGCGTTCCAGCTCCACCACATGCCGGACGAAAGCGTGACCGTTGTGAACCAACGGGATCAACTTTTAAGAATGGTTAAAAGTTTGAACCCGAAGCTTGTAACGGTTGTTGAACAGGATATGAACACGAATACGGCTCCGTTTTTGCACAGGTTTCATGAAGCGTATAATTACTATTCTGCCATGTTTGATTGTCTTGACGCGACGCTTTCGAGAGAGAGTCAGGAAAGAGTGAATGTTGAGAAACAGTGTTTGGCGAGAGATATTGTTAATATAATTGCGTGTGAAGGTGAAGAGAGGATCGAGAGGTATGAAGTGTCGGGAAAGTGGAAGGCGAGGATGATGATGGCAGGTTTTCGGGAGTACCCGATTAGTGTAAGTGTGAATGATTCGATTCGGGAGTTGATTAAAATGTATAGTGATAGGTATAAGATGAAAGTGGAGACGAATGCGATACATTTTGGGTGGGAAGATAAAGTATTAATTGTTGCTTCTGCTTGGAGGTAAGATTTAGGATGTGAGAATCCATATGTGACAGGTTCATGATTCGCATCATCTTCTTTGTTGACACTGTGATTTCCCTTTTTCATGTTGGAAGAGGAGCGAAGGTAAGTTTGTTTGAGGTTTTTTTGTTTTTTTTTTTAACTGATGTTTATTGTTGTAAGTTATTTTTCTTGTACTGAAAACTTATTATGTACTTATTGGAGCTAGTGATAACTACTGAAAACTTATTTGACTGTACTGAGAATTTATTATATGGCATTGTTTGCAAGTTGTTTTCTAGTAGGAAAGTATACCGTATATTTGTGTAGGCGTCAAGTATGGAAAAAGGAGATTCTAATTTCTAACCAATCTGCTTTTATATTTGAAATCATGAATGACATTTTAGTGATAATCATTATCCTCCGTGGAAGAAAATCGTTTTGTCACAAGTCCTAGTTGGTTTCGTCAGTTACAAAAATTTGAATACTCACCGACATGATTCTCCTTTGAACATGAGGAGTCTTGGCTTCATTCGTCACATCACTCACCATATGGATACGTTGCACCAACGCCGAGGTCAATAAAATCATTAAAAAAAAAAAAAAAAAGATAAGCCACGCCCAATGGTCAATTTAAATGGTTTTGTTTTGATGGAAACTCATTAAAATCATTTGGTTTAAAAAGAAAATTGTATGTTTTTATCCTATTAACTGAATAAATTTTATTTATCGTATTGTCCCATAGGCCATGTATATTAACCTTACCTTTTTCCTGTATATATCACATCTTTGCTTTTTCGTATCTCAAAAATTCAAATGGGTATAGTTTTTGTTTTCAGCTTGTAGAAGTTTTTTCAAGCTTTAGGAGTAGAGTTAATTGAGTTTTTATTTAAATCCGTTTAGACTTGTAGATTCATACCATATAGTCCAATATGTGGCTACCCTTGTATAAACTTTTTCTTTTTGATCAATCACAAAATATATACAAAAAAAATATTTTTCCGTTGCATAAATGATTTGATATGAGGTTAAAATGACTTTCTATTTGGGTCTCCTCATGGATATGGGAAACCAAAATAAGTTAAAAATGTACAAGCATGGGAAATTTCATGAAATAACCAAAATTGAGGGGGTGTTTTAAGCATTTAACCAAGAAAATTTGAGTTTTGGAAAATGATTACGAGATCCGCAATGATCAATAGTACCAAGGAATTGAGATGGCATAAAGACAAAAAAAAAAATATGGTGGGATCCGGAGAGATATCAACAATTCCGCAGAGGTGTTGCAGGGATCCGCAGAGACGGCTCTGTGGATCTACGGAGAGAAGCAACTACCATTTCCTCAGAGAATTTAAACTTCCACAGATGGTTAATGGATCCGCATAGCCACCTCTGCGGAACCATGATATTTTAGTGATGTTACGTCAATTCATCGGTACTATTCATTGTTCTTTAGAGGTTTAAAGCGATTCGCAAAACCCCTCTGCGGATCTCATGCTCATTTTCCAAAACTCAAATTTTCTTGGTTAAATGCTTAAAATACCCCTTCAAATCTCAATTTTGATTATTTCGTGAATTTTCTTGGATATCATTTGTGGTTAAATAAGAAGTTCACACAAGCCTACAAACTTTAGACATGGGGACTAAAAAACGTTTTTCATGAAGTCAGGAAAACAAATAAAAGTAAAAATCAAAAAATAATAATAATAAATAATAAAATAAATATATAATTATGTCGGTTCTATAGGTACGAATATTCACTTCATCATTTCTATTCTATTGATATGAGACAAAATAATAATAATAATGACAAGACGTATATAAAATACATAGGCTAACTTTCTTGGAACCCTTATTCCATACCACTCATTGATATGAAATGTACGAAACTAATACATCTATAAATAATAAACACCAATATTAATCTACAATTTTTTTTTAACTTCATTAAAAAGTTACTTCTACAAAATAACAATAATAATAATAATAATAATAATAATAATAATAATAATAATAATAATAAAAAAGTTGATGGTCTTTTGCAATAAGATGGTTAAATATAATAGAATTTGAACTTCTATAGTTGCACATGTACTCCTTGTTTCTCCCATGTTTTACCCATCCCTTACATTACCCTTTATTAGTGATAATAATTTTCTTATAAAACCAAGTTTTACATCACACGGCATTAATCCAAAAGTAAAATAAAGTATTCTAAAGTGAATAAATGGCAAATTACAAGTATAGTTGCTCAAAAAATTTGTTATAGTATCGTACTAATTAGTTTGGCTACCAACAAGTTTGATCTGTACAAATTATTATTTACCATTTAGGTAAAAATATTTACCATTTAGGTAAAATGTTATACCAAATCAAATTAAAAAGTAAAATAAAAAGGAAAAGAAATTAAATTATCATTTGTAACTATCTTTTGGTTTTTGTTCAAATATAGATAATATTTTTTTATATATAGATCTAGATAACGAATTTGTTGAAAGTATCATTTATGCTGTCATAATGGTTATATATGAATACTTCTAACAAGTCCATTATCTAAATATCTATAAAAAAACAAAATTATCCGGATGCGAACAAAACAAAAAGATAATTATACCGATAAGTCAATTTCTCATTTTACTATAAACCAATTAAAAGAAAAAATAAAAGGTCAATAAGACTTCACCTTTATTTTTTAAGGGTGTTAGCTATTAAAACCATTCTTGCAATGGTTTTCAAACTTAAGGATTATTTTGAAAGATATTTCTAATAATTTACCATTCATGTAATTTTGGTTTTTAGTCTTTAATAATTTACACGTTAACCCCTTAAGAAAATTAATATTACTCGAGCTTGCCCTAGCTGTAAAATGTTCAACCTGTATACAGCACGCCGTATATCATCAGTGAAGGCAACCTAAAGCGAAGACAAGTTTGTTTCAGAAAGAGGAAAGCAAAACTAAATATCATCATCATTCATCAGTCGGCAAAGAAATGTCTCGATCAATTGTGCAGCCGGTAGGCCAGAAAAGACTCACCAACGTAGCCGCCGTTCGTCTCAAGAAACATGGAAACCGATTTGAGATCGCTTGTTATAAGAACAAAGTCCTCTCATGGCGCTCCGGCGTGTAAGCATCTCCCGTTCCCAAACTTCTCATACTCTCATATTGATTAATTCATACTATATGATAGAAATTTACCTATTCCTGGTTTAATATTGGAGACGATCAGTTTATATGACCTAGCAATCGTTGTTGTATCGTTCCTATTGTGCTGTATGTTAGGCGTTAACTTTTAGGGTTTGTATTCGAGTTAATTTTAAGCGATGGTGTTGTTTGATTTGATATATCATTTTGTGCTGTGTGATCGAGAGACTTCTGAACATTAGGGTTTTAGGGTTTTAGATAATCAACGAATCGAATAAAGAAATTTGTAGATTATTGCGGGCTTTAGCTTTGATTATTGCGGTTCTGATATATATACTGCAATCCTGTATCAGTGAGAAAGATTTGGATGAAGTATTGCAATCACACACTGTGTACACAAATGTTGTTAAAGGAGTTCTCGCAAAGTCAAAAGATCTAAAGGCTGCTTTTGGGATGGATGATCAGACTAAAATCTGTCTGGAGGTATTTAAAATACAATATCTTACGAGCTTGATTTGTTGGTTAGAATCAATCCAAACTCTTAATAAAAACTTCATTATGTTAAACAGATTTTGGAGAAAGGAGAACTGCAAGTTGCAGGAAAAGAGAGAGAATCACAATTGTCAAATCAATTTAGGGACATTGCAACTATTGTAATGCAGAAAACTATAAACCCTGAAACTCAACGCCCATATACCATAAGCATGATTGAGCGTTTGATGCATGAGATTCACTTTGCTGTAGATCCACATAGCAGTTCAAAGAAACAGGTAATCCTATTTCTAATTTCCATGTCTTGAATAATTTTTTAATCAGATCATCATCTAATTTTGAGCAATTTTATTTGGTGTACAGGCATTAGATGTGATCAAGGAACTTCAAAAACATTTCCCAATAAAGAGATCCCCCATGAGACTAAGGCTAACATTACCTCAACAAAACTTCAATTCCCTTTCAGAAAAACTCACCGAATGGAAAACTGTCATTGTTTCTAAAGAAGCTTCTGGAATTCAACTCTCGCTTGTAAGGCGATGTTTGTTTCATTTTGACTTAATCTGGACACAATATAATGAGAGTTAATTGTTTGAAACCAGGTATGTGAAATGGACCCGGGATTATTCCGGGATTGTGATGCGTTCTTGAGGAATCTTCAAGGGAGATCTGAAATTCTGGCAGTTTCTGTCCATGGTGAAGGGGATATCAATACGGATGATTATGAAGGTCATGAGGAGGTATCAGTATCAGTATCAGCATCAGTATCATCAACATCAACTGAACCCAAGAAGCTGCCTGAACCTGTTGCCCAGCTGACCGAGAAAATGGAGAAGCAAAAGTTGGCTCCAAAAAGCGAAATCACGGAAGGTGAGGTAAAGGTGAAGCAGAGTAAATGCAGTACATGTGATGCGATTGTGGGGGATACAAAACAGTATAGAGAACATTTCAAGAGTGATTGGCATAAACATAATTTGAAGAGGAAAACAAGACAGTTGCCTCCACTTTCGGCTGAAGAGTGTGCTGCTGATGAGGAAATTAATGACTCATTGGGTGATCTGAAAGAATATTCGTTTTGAGGTTTTTGTGTACTGTATATCATCATATGACAGTTGGAAGGATTTTTTTTCTTTTTGTGATTAGCAAAGACTTTTTACTAAAACTCTGTAGTAATATGAATTTTGGGAATTATTCGTCCAAAGATTAGTGACTGGAGTGATTCAGTCACTGAAGGGCGTTGTTTGAAAATGAAAGGTATTTTTGTGACTTGATTTTCTGTTGCATTGGGTGTTGGAAATTTTTAGTAGGGACTTGGTGTAGATTGTGATAACGTTTTTAGGGATTGAGATATTGGGAACTTTTACTCATTTCCATACATCGTTCATTTAAGTACTTAACCCCATTTGTCTTTCTCTTTAGTCCCTCCATTTCAGTCCTTCCTCAAAAACCCTTCAATTTTACCAGTTATACGTAGTACCTCAACTTTATTTCCTTTGCAACTCTAGTTATTACTTCTTTTAGTTTTCCAAATTCAGTCCTACAAAATAACTATCGTTCATAATAGCTTTGCTTCTTTCACCTTGAAATGCAGGTGCTTCTTTGGATGGGTTCGATCCGATCAACTGAATGCAAATTGATTTCAGATTTCAAAACATGAATTCAAATAGTTCAAACTAAATTCAAATTCGATTCAATCCAACCAAATTACAATTTGAATGGATTTGTTTTTACGTTCCGACTTTTAAAAGACAATACATTTTAATAAATATATAACTTAGAGTATTAGTTTGTTCTATGAAAGGAACTAAAGAAAATTGTTTAATTGGTTGTGAAATAAAATTTTTAAACAACTACAAGAAGAATATATTATAGTTTTATATTTTATTAATATTTTTTTTAAAGAAACACATATTAAGTTATTATATTAGATTAAAATTTTTAATCTATTAAAAAATAAGTCAGTAATTAATAATATTAAAGATATATTATAAATTAATAAGACATAAATAAATAATAAATTGTTATTCGACTTTTTTGAACTATTCGGTTCTTATTTTATGAACCAAAACCAATCCACAATCCAAAATAATAATTCGATTTTGCTAAAAAGTAAAAACAAATCTAAAATTCTGAATATTTGAACCATAGAGTCCGATTCAAAATGTCTAATTGGGAAATTCGGTTTATCCAAACGGAAATAGAGTGAAAATAACAATATAATATATGAACAATTCTCTAAAACCACAAATAGAAATCATATTGGTCTTTATAGCATATTTCATGTGAATTTCAATCTTCATTAAATATGTCATTAAAGTCTTGATTTGATCTTTCAATAAACAAAAAAACATTATTTTCGTATAAACAGTTAAATAAACAAGTTCCATGCAACCAAATCAAAACTCTTTTACTTCAAATTCCTATGATTTATAATTATGTAAATATCAAAAAGATGGTTAGATGTCGATGTGGAGCCACAATCTCACCAAAGCATCTGGAACCTCATGTGTCCGATTTATATCTTTGAAAAGAATATTGAAGGTCTTAAGATATCGTCCACATAAAATTGAGAGCCTCAACCACCTTACGATTCTCTATAGCAATATCCACTCTTAAATATCTTCTATATACACGAAACTCTTCTACTTTTCATAAAAAAAACATATATTACCTCATCCACTAAATTATATCAAGACTTCCAATTTTTATAGAAAATAAATTCCCATTTGAACCATTGTTAGAAGCCTCAGAGCTGTATCTGAAGCACCACGCAAACACACAGCAGGAGAAGTGGAATGGCGATTATGGAGAAGTGTTTCCAAATGGGTACTCCCAGAGCCTGCGTTCTACAACACTCTCATCGTCGCTTTACTTCCATGGATAAACCCTCTTTCACCAACATCCTGAAGCCTCCGATGAAAGTTTCAGCTATAACATCTTCGTCTTCTGCTCATTCTTTCAACCTCAGATCCCGCATCATCTGCAAAGCTGCTGTAAATCAAGGTCTAGATCTCTCTTTGGAATTTCTATTTTGTTTGTGGGTGTAGTATATCGGGAAAATAGATATCATATGTATACTTTCGTATGTTCATTCCTTTTCGTATTAACAAGCATTAACTCAAAACATCATTTTTGTTTTTGGATTTTGTAGTTCAAGTGGTAACAGACGGCACTTGGAATGAAATGGTGGAAGCAGCAGAGATGCCGGTGTTGGTGGAGTTTTGGGCACCGTGGTGTGGGCCATGCCGGATGATTGCTCCGGTGGTGGATGAACTTGCAAAAGAATACGCAGGCAAAGCTTTGTGCTATAAGATAAACACCGACGACTGCCCAAACATAGCATCAAAATATGGAATCAGAAGCATCCCAACTGTGCTCTTCTTCAAGAATGGAGAGAAGAAAGAGAGTGTCATTGGTGCTGTCCCTAAATCCACTCTTTGTGCCACTTTAGACAAGTATGTTGAGTAATAACGCTTGCCTTCAAGGCTTCATAAGGGACTTAAATTTTATGCAATTTTTGTTACATTTCACAAAAATATTGTGTACAAGAAATTGTAAAAATATTTTTCATGTTAATACAAGTGTATTTTCTATATCCTTCATTTTAAATTGTTGAGGACTTTCTAAAGAAAAGATTAGTGATAATCAATAACTTGAATATAAAATTACTTTGCATAAGTAATATTTCTAGTAACTACTCGGGGATACCAAAGGGCTTCTATCTTAGTGGTAGTGGTATCAAGTGTTGTCTTCTCTCTTTGAGATCGAGGGTTCAAGTCTCATCTGAGATATATGTGGATTTTAGGATTAATTTAGGATTAAACTAGAGTTGTCGTTCAAAAAAAACTATTCGGGGATAATCCAGTTTAACACAATTTCAATTTTACGTTCATAATTAAGTCACGGATCTAATTATCATGCAATCCAACAAGATTTTAAATATAAAGAACCTCGATACTTACTTTGAAATCCAATTTTTACGATTATTTTTGTAGATGGTGATGTTGTTGTCTTCTATTGTTGTTATATGATTCTTAATCTTGATGGAAAGATTATGATACACAATATCAGTGTTCTAAGGGAGAATAGAGAATTTATATCGATGATTTTAGTGTTAGCAGGAATTTAGTGTAATCGAATTACCACGAGTGTCAGATGAGTATTTGAACTATGATCTAATACAAGTTAGGAGGTGCAAGTGTAAAGTGCACACTTGTATATATAAAGCAAATTTTATTTCAAACATGAAGAAATATGAGGGTTAATAGGCAATGCCCCTTATGGGTCCGGACAGAGCCCTATCAATGATCTCTTGAATGTAGTAAAAAAAATATGCTGATTAAAATTGAAGCTCATATTGAATCAGGAATTAAGTGGAAAATATGTTCATATTGAAGCGGAGTTATAGAACAAACAAGTTTGAGTAAGTTCGAACACAGATCAAATTGCCTGCCAGTTAAGTAGTTGACAGGCAGCTAGAAGCAAAATTGTCCGTCTAGGTAGTTTTGGTAGACAACTTGAGTTATTTGACAATTTTCTAGAAATCGTTTTTCAACAATTTATTCCATAATTTTCATTAATCTTATCCATGTTTTGAATAATTGAGTATATGTACTTATATTTCGCCATTTTTAGACTCTCCTACAAACTCTAACAATCCTTACTCTCTCTAGAAATGTAATTAATGTTGTGTGCCTAAAACACAAAGTGTCTCCATAAATTATCCGTAACTGGATTTTCAAAAACTCAGACATATAGAAGAAATATCAATATAAAAAATAAACTTAAATGATGCGTGAGAGATCCAGCTCATTATTACCAAACCCGTATTTGTCTCGCACACATAAAACCAAGGGTCTAGTGTGTGTTCCGTCTCCCTTAACTTCATTAGGATTACTGTATTTACCTATTAAAACCACCATCACCTATATGTTTTATTTATTTCACTTGGTAATACTTCTAATAAATGTATTGGATATTAATGTTTTGTTATACATCTGAACCAATTATTTAATGTTTTTTTTTTCATAAAACATGAAACATATAGATACAAGTGAGAATGCAATATTTACAACTATTTTTCTTTTAATTATAATATGTTCTTCTGATTTACTATATATTATTAAATTATTAAATTAAAAGGCTTGTGTTTACCACAAATACCCAAAACATAGTGAAACATCCCAAAATGCAAGCCAAAAATTTCGTTTTTAAAATCATTTAACAAACATAATGTTATCACCATAAGATAAAATCATCAAACATGTATCTCAAAATCTTATAAAGTATGTTAACATATAATTGTCTCATATAAAATATCAGAGTAAGCTCCCAAGCTAATAAATTGTGGTGTGTGTCATGCCATCAACTCGAGCCCTTCCCTTTGCTAGCTGAAGTACCTGAAACCAAAAAATGAAATTGTAAGCACGAAGCTTAGTGAGCTCCCCCAAACTACCACATACCATACAAGACACATATAACAAATAACATAACTCTGGGACTCTTCCCAACTGCATCGGGACGAATCCCAACATCGGCTTACCCGGCATCGGACTCCTGTCCGACATCGGGCTCACCCCGGCATCCGACTGCATCGGGCATCGCGTTCATCCCGGCATCGGGCTTACCTCGGCACATACACAGCATAACATATATCATAAACACATAACATAATCACATAATTTGCATCGGACTTGCCCCGGAACACATAATACATAGCATAATATCTAACATACATCAGGCTTGCCCCAACATCGAGCTTACCCCAGAACATATAACACATAACATGTAAACTAACATACATCGGGCTTGCCCCGACATTGGACCGAAGTCCGGAACACATAGCACATATCATATAACATGCATGAATCACAAAGACATCACGCATACTTAACTACTTCTCGGGACCGCCCCGACATCAGACTAAAGTCCGAAAACACATAAACTGCATCGGGGTCACCCCGGCATGCTCTATTACATAAACGGGCTGACATTGGTGTCTTAGACCCATTCCTACTAAAGGAAAACTCACCTCGTGTGTTTGGCTGCTGAAACTTTGGGTGACAGATCTCTGCCTACTGCTCCTGCGACTCTCCAGCTATAATTTCCATAAAGACACTTAGTCAAAAACTGATAACTAACCTTAGGGTAAAGTGACCATTTTACCCCTAGCTAAAGTCAACATCCTGGTCAAAATCAACATCCAATTGACTCGACTCGCCGAGTTGATCCGCCAACTCATCGAGTCCCTATTCTTTTATCTACCCCCAACCTAACTCTACTCGTTGAGTCTAGCAAGAACTCGACGAGTTCTCCTTCAATCGATATCGGGACAATCTTCAACTGACTTGTCGAGTTCATCATCCTCATAAGTGCTACTAGTCTGTGACTCACCGAGTTGTATGAACACCTCGTCGAGTCCATCTTCATGGATTATGAGATTGCCTTGGACTCGTCGAGTGTGTTCATACACTCGCCGAGTCAAATGGTTTCCAGGTCCATAACTTTGTCTACTTCGTTGTGTCCTTCTTCTGGACTCATCTAGATCCCTTCTAAACTCAACTGGATCCCTTAGGATCATAATAGGTTGGAGAACCAAACCCCCGACTCGCCGAGTCCCAAGAACACTCATCGAGTCTGCTAATTTCTAAGTCTATAACTCGAATTCTGATGTGCAAATCTCATCCAAAAGATAGATTTGGGCTCCTACAGTCGATATAACACGTAAAGTCATGAACTTTAGGTGCATGCATGGGAAATTTGTGCTCAAAGGGCAAAAAATGGGGTTTATTACATGCATGGGGTTCTCATGGCCATAAAGATGGCACCTTTTTGCCATGAGGACCCTTCAAGGTTCCACATCTGAAGGTGAATCAACTTGGGACGTCCAAGTCCCGTGAATCAAGCTTCTTGGCCCAAAACTCCATAAAATAACCATAAGGAGATCTAAGAAACCACAAGTCAGGTGTGAAGCTTTATTACCAAAAAGTGAGGAGAATATGATGTTGTTCCTAGATCTTCAACCTCCTCTTGAAGCCTTCCTTCTTTCTCTTCTTCACACAAATTCCAAATTACACAAGATTACTCAAAATGGCACAGAATAGCTCAAAAATGCTCATAACTGCTTGGGCTTTCGAGGACAGGGCTTAGGGTGATGGAGGCTGGGGTGGAAGCCTCATAAGTTGTTTAAATAGGGTGCAAACCCTCCCATTTAAGGTTTCACCCAGACAGCTCCTACTCGTCGAGTCGGCTTTCCGACTCGTCGAATAGGTCACTTAATCCCCCGACCCGGAGTCGATCCTACTCGACGAGTTAAGCCCCCAACTCGCCAAGTCCAAGAGTAAAATATGAAGTTTGACTTGAATTTAAATGCATACCTGAGACTGGGTGTTACACATAGTTTAATGATTTAGAACGAAATAATATAATGTTAGTCTCTTTAAAACTACCTATAGAAAATAAATTACCATATAAAAATATATATTTCAGATTGTTTATTATTATTATTATTATTATTATTACTATTATTAATATTATTATTATTATTAATATATATATATATATATATATATATATATATATATATATATATATATATATATATATATTATATATATATATATATATATATATATATAATAAGCCCCCTCTATTCTATAGTTCTGGTTCCCTGCATAAAACATATAACGGAAAAAACTTCTACCGTCACCCTAATAGTAATGATTAATATCTTATATAAAATAAGTATAATCATAAAAATGGCCATGGAAAATATGAAGTTTTTCTTTTATAACCAACTTTTGAGGCATTTTAAAATTACTATCATCTTCGTAATACTTCATTGCGGACTAAATGATTTTGTGTCAAAGTGTTAGAAGACCCTCTAAGATGAGACATACAAGTCTTTTGGCATAAATCATTTAAGTATCAATCAAATCTATACGTGAACGATTTGGCATAATTTATTAATATGTATCCTAATGCCACGAACCCTACTTTCATTCATACAAGTCTTTTGTCTGCTTAAGTAGGTTCACTTTTATTAAATTATTTTGTTGGATTCAACACCCAACAAATTGACGTCATTATCGAGGATACTACAAATAATTGCCAATATTTTCTAGTATATGTATACCTCTAAATTTATATATTTAACTTGAAAATACCTCTTAAGGAACACTCGAAGCTTTGAAAGAACATTTAGCTTCTAATGACTGCACTAAAAGAGGTAACATCCCGCTAATGTTATTAAACTTAGCAATATAAGGTTCACAACCTTTATAAATTTTGTGGTTGTGCCCTCCCAAAACCTAATAATTTGTTTTGATCAAGGTTTTACATGGCATGAGGCGTGGCGTGGTGGTAAGGCCAAGCCTCAAGCTTTACGAGTCATGATATTTTTCAATGTGTGATGTAAGGTGGCGATTTTATATTAATTTATAATTATATTACAACATACATATAAATTTATATCTAATATAGTTTTTAAAAGTTTTATATGAATAATTAATTAAAAAAAATAACAAAAAACACAATAGTTGTATCCCCGATTAGAAAAGATATAACAAAGAGCAAAAAAAATATCTTAAACGAAAAAAACATACGTCATAACACGACATAACGCGTCATATCACGCATTGTCACACGTCACGCCTAACAGCAACGTTATGAGGCTTTTCATAACGGCGCAGTCATACCTCACGTCATGGCACGCATTGGCGTGCATCATATCACGCCTTTTAGAAAACTAGTTTTGGTTGTGTGTTTATGCATGTTTTAGTATTTGTTTTTTTTTA